GTGAGGGAGTGAGTGAGAGAGAGAGAGAGAGAGAGAGAGAGTTCTAAACCATAACTAGATTTAAACGACAGAATCGCTAGCATTAGAGGTATCACTGAAACCACAATACAATAGCACTCTATCATTGGGCACAACCAGCACCGGTATGTGCCGACAGACCACGAGCACCTGTATCCGACTGTCACCCAAACACTTACTTCTGACGGCGAGTATAGCGCCGGTGAGAGCGCCGGACGTAATGCTATTCCAGGGGTCCTCCTTCTTGCGGATGTGAACCAGAGTGCAGTCAATGGTACTGAAGAGTCCGCCCCAGACGGCAAAGTTACCGCCGATGACGGGCGCCCTCGTCCTCACGGCAGACCACGACCCCAGCAGTCGTTTGTTGACCCCTTGGGGGGCGTTCCTGAAGCCCCGGATGGCCTGAAACACTGACCCCCCGATGGCACCCATGGTGAAGGCGCCGCCACAGTCATCGACTATACGCCACGGACACGGCTCACGGGCGTACTCCTCCATTGCTGGGCTACCGGTGCTGTTGGTGGTGGTGCTGGTGATGGACACGAAACTCTTGAGACACGAAGCGGTCAATAGTTTGCGGTTTTAATTCAGTTTCGTATCAATCCTTTCATTCAAACTGTTTTTGCCCTCAAATCTGATGCAATGATAACTGCATTTCAAATGAGATTTAGTGTTAACTCATTGTCCAGTTTTAGACCCTTTTGTGTTATAGTGTTTTTGAGTGTCTCGTAGGTATTTGGTGTATAATAGGCCCAAATGGTAGTCTATGTGTTTTATTGTAATGCAAAATATTGTATGCTTTTTATATACAAAACAAATTAAAGTTAGTTTAAAATGCGGATTAATTACATGAATAAAATTCATTAGAAATCAATACAATATATAATGTAATTGTAGTTTATATAACATTATTTATAGTCAAATGTCATAAAACAGATTTATATAAGTTTTATATGCGTTAAACTCTGTTGACTATAACGGGGTATACATTGTATGTACAGTTAAAACATGTGCGAAGTATTGAGAAATTACTGCAAATGTGTCCACAAATAACGGGTCATTGAGGGGAAGGGGCGCTCAATTTGATTGATCAATGCATGCATCAAATGGTGACCATTTGGATCAACTGCAGAGGTCTACAAGACTTCGATCGACAGATTAGATGGCAATTGAATGGATGGATAGTATGACTGATACAGCTTTTCATTGCATTTAGTGTTAATGGCGAACGAGAAGTAGTACTGAATTTTGATCATCTGCTGAGCTCTGGCCACGATTTTGTCCACCGATTGTCTGGTGATCGCGAAGTCGAAGTGCGGGTTCTTTTGGTCGAAATTCAATGTCGATATCCGCGGACACGAGTCGATCACTTCGCACACACCCGTATCGGTGATATTTGCCGTGTCATCGGCGGTCAGGCATATGATCTCCAGTTTGGATAACTTCTTCAGCTTCGATAAGCACTTCAGCGTCCGATCGCTGATGGCTTTCGCGGTATTCAAGCGAATGGACACCAATTTCGGCAAATGCTTCTCAATGTTCACCATATTATCGTCACTCAGTTGTTCCAAATGAAGACTCAAATGCTTTAATTGCTTCAACTGTCTGAAGGCGTCAATAGTGCCGTAATTGTATGAATAGTCACCCAATTCCTGGTCACACGTAATGATAATCTCGAGCGACGT